CATTAATACTCAAAATATAAAGGAAGAACTTCGGCGAATTACTTCAAGAAATGACAAAATTATTTAATATCCTAGCATCAAAAAATGCCGTACACAGTAGTGCTTATGTTCCAGTACTCTCATTTACAAAAAGCGAAGTAGAGACGATCACAGCAATTAGATATCGATATGTCTGATGTCAAATCTTTTCAAAACTCTTAACAAAAAGACTGTCCAAACAGCTTGTCTCCAGTCAGAACAGTTTCGGTTTTGAGCTTTCTTCGTTACTACAGATCATCTACAAGCAGTTAATAAGGTAATATAAAAACGAATGAATTTAACTTTAAATTACATATCGCTTTTGTGAACTTAGAAAAAAACATATGACCTGTCTAACATGAATGCATATTTGAAAATCTCAACACGCAATCATATCTTATACATAGGCTTCTTAATCACATTCTCATATCGTTGAGGTAAAGAAATTAGATAATAATAACGCTCTCTTGTAAACAATATGGAACCTTTTTTTTACATCAGCCTAAAAACCAAAACGCTGTTGTCTTTTGCTGGTTTTATTACGTGGATCTCAAACATGGTCAGGAACAATAGTTAAAAAACATTGCTGCTTTTTCGCTAAATGATAGAAAGCAAGTTCTGTATTACACAAACTAACATCAAAGACGCTGTTCTCAAAGCTGAACGCAGAAATGGGGATTGGGAGGTTATGTCATGAAGCAAAACTGACAAATATGGGTGAATTCCACAACGATCTAAAGCCCGCTAATTGGATGTAGAAATCCAGACAGACAGCTCTCCTGATGGTACCACAGTCTACAGAAGATAGCAGCTCCTGTTTGGTCTAGACTAGTGCCAGACAGTAAATTGGAAGCAGCTAGAACATATCACGTGAATTGTTGATTGTTATAAATTCGTTTATATTATTTTAGTCTATAGAAGAATCTTGAACTGTTTAGTCATTCTGGAAATGTTTTGAACATTCTTGTAAACAGTACCAGGGAAGTGCCAATAGTGAGAATTAAATTAAATAGTGAGAAAAAATTATATTAACATGAATTAAGAACTGAGGAATGAATAATGAAATAATGTATTAGTTTAAACTATGTTTGGTCACCCAATAGAGTAATATGATATAATGTATTATAGCAATAAGGCAAATTATAATCAACCATATGTTTTCAGCCTGCTTAAAGTGGGGGTCTTATCAGTGACCGGGATCTGTAAAAGTTTCATTGTTATTATTATTATTATTAATAATAATAAGAATCGCATGGAAAGCTTAAAGCCGAATTTTTTTGTCTAGATATTTATTTACCTTACCATCAATACACGAAAAGGAAGGTATTCTGTTTATAGAACATCCTCTGCGTTGTTTGACCTGTCTTGGTCTGCTCTGTGCTGCTCTGTCCTGATTTGCTTTACTCTCTTCTGCGCTAGTCTGCCCGGGTCCTCCATGTTCCCGTCCTTGCCTGTCTCCTTGTTGTTGCCGTGCCTGTCTCAGATACTACCCGCCTCACACCCGGGTGGTGCGTGTTGTCGAGATTTAAAAAAAATGCATATTTTAAGTTTATATAGCCGATGTGATGGCCAAGATCCGATGGCTGTCGTGCCGTAGCGGTCTCAAACCAGAAGATTGGAGTTCCACTTCGGGCATGGTTGTGTTGTGTGTCTTTTTTCTGCATGATGTGTTATAGGAAATAATTCACTATAAGTAGAGATGAGTTTTTCTGTCGAAAAATCTCTTATTTCCGCCACACGATTATAAAGCTTTTTTTACTACTTACGAAGTAAAGCGAGCATTAAAATATTAGTTTCTCTCTTTTATCTTTTGAGCGGTCTTAATCTCCGCTGAGATTTGAGACCGCTATCATTGAATCTATGATACTGTCTTCGTTTAATAGCTTTGTTACAATTGAAACATGTTACGCAAAACCCATCAGTACATTGTACTTATTTGGTGTTTTTCAAATTCATGTTCCTAACAGCATTTGAAATGTTGTAATCGTGAGTTAACTTTGAGAAATACTAAGACATCCCTTTCCAATTTATTAAAAATATAATTGATTTAAATATCTTGTACTTTGTCAAAAGCTGTACTAGGTCATTCTTGTGACACGGATGACCCAGAAGGAATTCATATAAAATGACATGGTTTACTATGTTCGTATATATTTCTAGTGATACTAATTTGCACGATCGTTGTTTAACCTATTAGATCTTTAGCGGGAACATTGCTATTTTTCCAGCCATCGATTACCTTTTAATACTGTCAACTGTTCTGGAGTCATTCTGCGGCATTAACTCAATGTATTTACAATACCCAAATTTCTTCGTCATCAGCCTGTTGAATTGAATTGAATTGAATTAATGCCTTATTTTACGTGGCGAGACTCAGCCCATTAGGCCTGCTCTTCCTTCTGACCACGCTTATTCATCATCATCATCTTCATCCAATAATAATTTTTGAAGCCCGTTTCTTTGCTTTTACAAAATGTTGTTTTTTTCTTTTCTTTTGGAGAGATATTGGATTTTCAATTTTTTGTATTCACATTACGCCGACATACTTTGTATCAGGTTCTAATTTTTGTTATCATTGTTTCTCATCATAAAACGTGCTGTTGACCTAATATTGATAATTATTTTTTTGCACTTACTACTTTATTTCTTTCATTTTGTTGTAAACAACACCACATTTTCATAATGCACTAATCCATCTAATAAATAATTAACAATTTTCTTTCTTATTAATACTTTAAAAGCGCTAGGGGAATTTTTGAGTTGTGTATTATTTCGCATTTAAGATATTTTGAATCTGTTAAAAGCTTACCAGTGTGTAGATATTAAATACCCTGTCTCTTGTGTGTTGCAGGCTGACAGGTGGCTCCTGGACCAGATTCCAGTTGCTGATGATGCCTTCCGAAGCCATGCGTTACCTGTGCAGGTAATAGAACCTGACCAATCATTTTCTTCGAGTGATTTCAGAAAGTATCTTTCTTCTTCGCGAGATACCTTAATATAAAAGCACATTTATTATTACCATTCTTCAGCTAAATCTTGTAATCACTTTTAAAATAACCTTCAATTTATTTTACTTTCTTGCTTCATTACGCTAGTGGCAAAGAAAAAGTATTGCAATCGTGCAGCGGAAATTGACGATTTTTCCACTGACAAGCTTTTGCTGAGCGTTGGTACAGAACTAGTCGTGCTACAAGAGAACGTACTTTCTCGCTTTACTTCCAAGTTTTTCTATTTCTATAAATTCACCCAGTTAAACGAAAATTATACCAGCGCAATTTTTCAAGCGTATTTTGAACTATTTGTGAAAAAAGGTGAAGTCGATTTTGATATAATAATTTCTTTAAAATGTCTGCATTTCATGCAAAAATTCGAAAATACTATTTGAAAAATTGTGCATAACCTTATTTTAATCTGTATTTAAATAACAGATTTGATTAAGAAAAATAATATTTAATATTGTATTTGAAAAAAGATACAAAATATTCGCAATTTTCGAAAAATCAGCGATTTCAAAGAAAACGAATCTAACGTGTTTCTTTTAGGTGTTCTTCATGCTATCCGAAAAAAGTATTATTATCAAAATAATTGAAGCCCTTTGAAAGAATTTTGAAACTAGAGACTACCGGTAAAGTTTCCTGAAAATGAAAATATTCGTTACGTTGCATACCTTTTCGTCCACCGACCTACAGGTTATCGTCCCGCTAACAAACACAGTATCGATATCTTTCGTTCTCAAAAATGTCAGTGCCAAAACTATCTTTATCGCAAGCAGCGCCATAGTATCGTGTCCGGGAAGGATAGGAACCGAGTGTCTTTGTGTCCGGGTCTAGTTAAAAAGAAATCCAATTTGCGCAATTGCAAAAGCACTCAAAGGACGGTTTTTCAAATAAGTTCTCAATTTTATTCAATGAAAATTTGTATATAAAAATATGCTCATATTTTAGTCTAAAAGTCGTATTTTAATTGAAATATTTAGGGAGTAAAAAATTAGGAAAATTGGGAAAAAATGTATTTTAGGTTCTGATAGAATGTAATTAAAACACAAAAATACAGGCCAGATTAAACAGGTTAGGAAACTAACATGCACGAGAAAATCTGTGCCATTCTAAAGCACCACTAGTTTATAAATTGCATTAACCTTAAGCAGAAACTACGTGAAACCCACACTATTCGTATTTCAGATTTTCATTATTCGACGGAATTGGATATTCTAGTATGTATTACAGGCCCGCAGCACATAAAAAGGCTGTTGACCAAAAGCGCACAAAGAGATTTCCAAAATGTAGCACGCATATTGCTCAAGAACAGTAATAAAATACTTGCGTATAACACTGCATAAAATGCATTTTAGACAAATATTACTTTATAAATAACGTAATATAGAATGTACTTGCATTCAGTATAAAAGTTCTTTATACTCTACGGATATAAAGAAAAGTTGTGTTTCGGGACGCAACATGTAAATAGAAAATATTTAATGACGAGTATCCTCTTCTTTGCAGCATTTCTCTAGCATTACGTGATCTGTGTCATAAGAAGTGTCACATTCAGTGTGAAAAGTCAATTAACATAATATAAGAAGAGAGGGAATACCACAAATAAATATTTGATTTTTCACTAAAAATCTAATACGTTTAAATATTTTTGGATATATCCCGATTCACTGGGGGTTTGATGGAAAAATAGACACATGTTAGACCGTTTGTAAGTTTAATCAGTTCCTGCGCGCATTCCAAATTAGTAGAATAAATAACATCTAAACTTTTAAGTGAATGAACCACATGCATAACTACGGTGGTAATGCCAGAGTCGTTAGCCGAAATGCTTAACTACTCTCCGTGAAGTGACGTAAGTTAAACAATTCAAGGCACCACGGATTCCTGTTTTCAGAGAATCTCACTTACTAACAGCGACGAGTCCCTGGCAGAAGAGATAAAAGGCAATGACTGACTGCGACGCTACGATCCAACACAAAATGTAACGGAGGGTTACTTCATAAACACGCAATGCCCTATAAATGACTTAAGAGTCGTTTTAATATAGGTGCAATCCAATTTTTCAAAAAAGAACCCTTCTTATATTACAGGTTGACCTCTTTCTGGCCCAGAAGAAACAAATAACCTCCATTTATTTATTATTTTAAGTTGAGCGAGTGAAGTCCATCTCGTACACTAGGCTTTTCCTTCCCATACCAACGTATTGATCATGCGTTCTTGCTGCGTAGGTCCGCGATGGGAGGTGCGTGTCATTGGTCCGCCCCTCCGGGCGTAAATGGCGAAGAGCTGCAATAAACTTCGGGGAGTGTGGCAGTAAATTTTATTATCCCACGTGGAATATCACCGAATACTACGGATGAGGGAAAGCTGTTGAAATTGGGGCCTCGGAAGCCAGTCATTATTGTGCCTTCGCTAACAACCTTCCGAAGTCTCAAACCATTGACAAATCACCGCAATAAAATCACTCACGTAGTTTATGACTACGTGGTAATACCGCTAAAATTGATGGAGGTGGTTGAGTGCCCGCGTTGTCCGGACTTGTATGTAGAGAAGAGTAATTGCTGTCAAACGCGCTTTGGTTTGCGAATCCGAAAAGAGAAAGTCGATTCGCCTGATTTCTTTGGTGAGAGAAATCGATATCCTCTGCCTGGGTAAATGAAGGCCGCCAACAAGAGAAAATGCTATTTAAAAGTTCTCTAATCATTTATTTACCTCAAGGTTATTGTCATTATCTTTCAAATTAACTTTTCGCACGTCATTGTCTTCGCATAAAAAATACTATGTACGTCATGAAGAAATAATGGAAACATATTTTAGTGATATCATAACATATTTTTGTGCTATCATGTCACCTTTAATGTTACTTTTAAATTCAAATAAAGAACATCCAAAGCCTAATTCTACTAGCACTAAATTAATAAATCAATTTTCCACAAAATTTTTCATGGGTAGTACAATATGTTCAAAAGGAAAAGTACAAGACTCATATCACAGAGAAATGATGTTTTGCGTCGTAATTCACCGTCAGTTTATGAATAAAGTATATATTTGAATATTTTTAACAAACTCCTTGTATTAGCGGCGATGTTGGAAAAAATTGCTTTAAAGATATAGAAGATTTGAACTGGTATGGCAAAAAATTAACAAGTCTCACTACTCTTTAAAACAAAATATTAATTGTAAACTACCGGTTATAAATACGTGTAATTAAAACCAAAAATCAAGTAGGATACTTCCGAAGACCGCAAAATGTTCAATAATCCAGGCAAATAAATCAAATAGGTCTGTGTTTCTAAAGAAACAAACTTAGAGTAAACTTCATGAAAATAAACAATTTACAAAGCATAGCTCTTCGTCGTTCTCACATGGCTCACTAACTATCATTCTTAGTCTCATGACAATTGTAGACTAACATCATTAGGTTGTTAAACAGCAAACAAGTTTTTGAGATGTTCTTCAGTTTACAGGTATTTGATAAGTGGGGCATAGATTAGTTATTTAATATCTTTCCTCATGTAAACAAGCGTATATATTTGCGCATGTAAAGCCAATAAATAATCTTACTAACTTTTAATTATCTTATTACTAATACTTTCTGACAGAATTTTCTTTTAGATCCTATAATCAGGTTCTACTTTAGCGAATTTTATTGTAAATAAATAATAGGGATATTTACGAGTTTTTTTAATTCTGCTCTGAGGGTTAGGGTTTTACATATTCTGAACAGCACCAATAAGAGGTTCAAGCTAGAGTAAATGTTAGTGGATAAATAAGTCTTATGCTTAGTCATTGGTCATGTTAAATTCCCTATCGAGTTGGTGGTTGACGATTTTTTGTTTTGAATTATTTCTGTATTATTTGAATTTTGTTAATGAGGTTTTGGAGGCTTTATCAATATTGAGCACGCATTCAATAGTAGTTGTCTTATGTTAATTTTGTATATTAATATGGATGAATTAAATGACATGAGGGCATTTATGAAAATTTGCTGTATTAGCTGCAGTATTAGCATTTTGACTAGAGTTTAATATCTATGGGATTCTTCCAGTTTAATTTTATGTTCAGGTGAAGTCTAAGATATTTTACCGCTTGGTTGAGGGAAGGAAATATTTTATCAAACGTTTCACTTGGAATTATTTGGATGTTCAGTTCGGAAGCCCAGCTTTCAAACAATTGTTATCTATTTACCAATATTGGTGAAGACGCTTGAATAGATTATGACAGACTCATCAGCAAATTGAGCAGTTTAAGTATTATTTAGTTTAGGTAGGTCAGCAACCTACAAGCTGAATAAGATTGGAGAAGGGGGAGACCCTTGAGAGAGAGCAGTGTTTATTGTTCTCGGGTTTGAGAAGTGGTTTTAGAAGAACATTTATCTAAAGTGTTCTATTGCTGAGGAAACTATTTATTGTCGATAGTATGTAGTGTAAAGAGTAACAAAGTTGATTAGTTCATGCTTCGGAGCTTGATGCTATGTTCGGTCCAATAGCTTCTTAATGTCATGTGCCTTCGTAAAGAAAATTGCCGATTGTAAAACGATTTTTTTTCAAATTATTGACTGATATCATGTAGATGGATAACAAGAACTCATTTCGGTAAACATTATGGGTATAATCAAGGTTAGTTTGGTTCACAGATGGATGCACTTAACAATGCCCAACAGACAGAAAGGAGTATTGAAATAAAGCACTTTTTCCATATCAAAACTAAACTATTTTTTAATCTATGCTACGTATAGGATAACGTACCAAAATACCAAAACTATCAAGAAATGTTCCTTATTTTTTCGCTATGTACTAAATTATTAAAGAGGGAGGATTGTAATGCTGCGGCTAAAAACAACTATTTTTCTTACGAATAGCGCCCATATTCTCATTCTGGTATCAGAAGCGTAAATAAATCTACTTGCTACATATAAGAGTAGCAT